TCCCAGCTACTTGGGAGGCTGAGGCAAGAGAATCGCTTAAGACCAAGAGTTTAAGGTTGCTGTGAGCTGTGACGCCACAGCACTGTACTCAGGTCGACAGCTTGAGACTCTTTGTCTCAAAAAAAAAAAAAAAAGTTCAAGACCAGCCTGAGCAAGAGCAAGACCCTGTCTCTAAAAATAGCTGGATGCATTAAAAAAGATAAAGACTTTACATCTTTTACATTTACCTGAATGGAGTTGAAATACTTTCTTCTTAGTAAAGTATCTCAAGAAAGGAAAAATAAATATCCAATGTACTCCATACTAACATGAAATCAATATATAAACAATTACATGTTCCTAAGAACATGTAATTATAGTCTAGTTTGAGGGGGGAGAGGGAAGATGGAGGGGGGACAGGGGAGGATATATGGCAGAGGGAGAGAGGGCATGAGGCGGGATCTCACCTACTGTGCACATTGTGAAGGTGTCTAACACACCCCCGGGTGAGGAGCTCTTCTACAAAGGGAACTTTACCCTGGAAGTGAGAACAGTGTAACCTAAATATTGTACCCTCATATTAATTTGAATAAAGTTAAAAAAAATTAAAAATAGCTGGACATTGTGGCGGGTGCCTGTAGTCCCAGCTATTTGGGAGGCTGAGGCAAGAGGATCACTTGTGTCCAAGAGTTTGAGGTTGCTTTGAGCTATGATGCCACATCACTGTACTGAAGGTGATAAAGTGACTATCTCAAAAAAAAAAAAAAAGATATTGAGGTCCCCAGTTTCCAAATGAGGACAGGAGGTATCTACCCCAAGGTCCTTGTTGAGGCAGAATTTCACCCATCCCGGCCTCCTGGCTCTCAGCCCTGAAGATAGAATCCCCCACCCACCTCAGCAAATGGAGTAGTGCTGGGAGTCTTGAGAAGGGGCTGCTGAGTACCCCAACCTGGGTCAGGGTCCGAAACACACACGGGCTCAGATGCAGGCTTCAAACCCCAGGAAGATGCAGCTGGAGAAGGAGCTGGCCTCGGAGCTGTGGCGGGTCCGCTGGGAGGACCTGCAGCCCAGCAGCCTTGAGAGGCACCTGTGGAGCGCAGGCAGCCGGCTGACCCTGAGTGGGGTGAGGACACTGGTGTGCGTGTGTGTGTTCTGGGGGGAGGACAGCTGAGTATAAGGTGCGTGTCTGATGAGAAGAGTAGAGATCAGGTTCTAGTCTCAGATTTGCCTTCCTTTGCTCTGTGACCTTGAGAAAATCACGTTCCCTCTCTGGGACTATCTCAGATGATGATTACACCTATAGAGTCTCCCTCACAGGGCTTTTTCAAAAGTCAAAGGAGATAGTACATATGAAAACACATTTTAAAAAAACACATAAAATGCTAGGCACAGTGGTGTCTGCCTGGAGTCCCAGCTGCATGGGAAGCTGAGGCAGGAGGACCTTAAGAGCCCAGGAGTTCTGCAATGCAGGGCCCTATACCAGTCAGATGTCAGCACTAAGTCCAGCATTGGTATGATATCCTTCTGGAGAGAGGAAGGGACCACTTAAGTTGCTTATAGAGGGGTGAACTGACCAGGTAGGAAAGGGAGCAGGTGAAAAGTACCATGCTGATCAGTGGTGAGATCAGACCTGTGAATAGCCACTGTACTCCAGCCTGGCAACACAGCAACATCCTATCTCTTAAAAAAAAAAAAAAAAAAAAAGCTGAGTAAATGAAAAATGGATTTCATGATGTGGAGTATAAAGGAGAGTGATACAAAGAAAGGCAGGATGGTAAAAAAAAAAAAAACACCAGAATTCAAGCAACCAGGATACAAACTGGCTGTGGCTAACCATCCTGCTTGCTCTCCATCTCTTCAGAGAGGCTCCAATTATGGCTCCCTGCTCACCACAGAAGGCCAGTTCCAAGTTTTTGCCAAGACAGCATATTATAAGGTGGGCCTGGGGACTAGGACAGGGTGTACTCTGATGAGGCCCTGGAGGAGGGTCCCAGGGCAGGAGCGGGCTGTTGGTGAGCAGTTGGGGCCCTCGGGATGAGCTTTTGGGAGCAGCTGAGGGTCCTGTGGGAGGCAATGGGCTGTCAGAGCAGGTGGTGTTCCCAAAGCAATGCTCACAGTGACAGTCTCCATTCCTTGCCTAGGGCAACCTCGTGGCTGTGAAACGTGTGAACCGTAAACGAATTGAGCTGACAAGAAAAGTCCTGTTTGAATTGAAGCATGTAATGTGGGGGAGTGAGGCAGTGGCCTGGAGAGAGTAGGGTGACCAGACATCCCGCTTTTCAACAATTTGTCCCACGTCCTACAGCGTTTTTAAAAAGTTCCGATTTTTGGAAAGAATGCACCAACGGGCAGGAGAACAAGAAGGGAATATACGGTTTTCAGCTGCCATGTGGCTATTTCGCCAGAATATGAGTTTCATATTATTTTTGTTAATTTTATAATGTTAAACTATAATAATAACAAATAATTGCTGAGAAGTGATTATCAAGAACTGCTTATCAAAGTTTGCATTGTTGTCAGGCCCTGCTCTGCTCCATCCCCTGCCCCGCCCATCCCCTGCCTCCCCCACCCCGCCTGCCCCTCCCCACCATGTTGTCCCACCTTACTGATGTTAAAATCTGGTCACCCTAGGAGAGAGTCCTATTGGGACACAAGGGAAGTTGGCCAACAGAACTGACTATGGGGAGGCCTCAGGGTGTCCCAGGAAGGGGGAAGGACTATGGCCCTGGGATGGGCTCTTGCAGCCTATGGCTGGGCATGGGGAAATCATGAGACTGGAGACACCCTGAAGGAAGGGCCTTAAGGGGCCATACGCGGTGCCCCTAGTGGTAGAGCCTTAGAGAGAGTAGAGATTCTGGGGAAGGTGGGCAGAACTTGAGTGGGAATCACCAGGGAAGGTCTTAGAGTTGTCTACAGAAAATGATTAATGAGTTGAGAAGATTAAGGGTCCCTGAGGCTGCTGGGCTCCTGACACTGGCTCCCACCTACAGATGCGGGATGTGCACAATGCGCACCTGACCAGGTTTGTGGGTGCCTGCACCGACCCCCCCAACATCTGTATCCTCACAGAGTACTGTCCCCGCGGAAGCCTGCAGGTGAGGGGGACATGCGGGTGTCAGGAAACCTGAGCCTCAGCCCCGGCTCTGCCCCTGACTGGCCCTGACCCCAGGCCCCTCCCTCTTTCTGACTTTTCTGGCTCCATCTGTAAAATGGGATTGGGGGAGGGCAATGGCACTAGAGAAAATCCAAGGCTTTGTCCTTTTCCATCATCTTATGTCAGTAGAACCCTGCACCCTCCACCCACTCCTAAGGAGAGTCTGTGGGGGACTGGTCTGACCCTCCCTGCCCCAATAGGACATTCTAGAGAACGAGAGCATCACCCTGGACTGGGTGTTCCGGTATTCTCTCACCAATGACATCGTCAAGGTAGGCCCCAGAGGGTCCATGGTTGTGTGGGGTGGGTCCAGGCATGCTTCTCCTAGCCATGGTTGGAGGTCCCAGTCTTGGCTGAGACCACTGCCTCCCCAAATTCCTCAGGGTATGCTGTTCCTACACAATGGGGCCATTTGCTCCCATGGCAACCTCAAGTCATCCAACTGCGTGGTGGATGGGCGCTTTGTGCTCAAGATCACAGACTATGGGCTGGAGAGCTTCCGGGACCCAGAGCCAGAGCAAGGACACATCCTTTATGCCAGTGAGCCCCAACTCTCAACCCTACCACCCACCCTAAGCTATACCCAGTAGGGGACCAATGCCTGGCCTCTGATGGGTACAGGTGTGAGTTTCCTGACTGTAGCCTCAGTTCTCTCAGTGAAGGAGAAAATCCAAGGCCTTTGTGAAGCAGAGGGGGTCACTGAGTATCTCTAAGGCCACACCTGGCTCTGAGGCTCTGTGTGATGTGTCTAGATCAATCTCTACCTTCTCCTTGCTTCTCCCTTGCCCCTTAGCTTTGAACTCCCTCACTTATTGACTCCTGACCTCTGACCCACAGAAAAGCTGTGGACAGCCCCTGAACTCCTGCGAATGGCTTCACCCCCTGCACGGGGCACCCAGGCTGGTGATGTGTACAGTTTTGGGATCATCCTACAGGAGATTGCCCTAAGGAATGGGGTCTTCCACGTGGAAGATCTAGACATCAGTCCCAAAGGTAAGAGGACAATACTTCCCCATATTCCTGCCACCTCTCCAAGGAGAGGGACCCTGGAGGCACCACCATACCTTCCTTCTACAATGGGGCTTAGGCCACTGTTTGACCCACTGCTGCCAGTGCCTGGTCACCCACCCAACTCCCCTGCCCCACACCTTAGTCCTAGACTTCCCCAACCTGGCCCTGCTGATTGTCCTGTCTCTCACTAGGCCCTCCCCTTCTCTCCCTACAATGCAGAGATCATTGAGCGTGTGACTCGGAGTGAGCAGCCCCCCTTCAGGCCTTCACTGGCCCTGCAGAGCCACCTGGAGGAGCTGGGGCAGCTGATGCAGAGATGCTGGGCTGAGGACCCACAGGAGAGGCCACCTTTCCAGCAGATCCGCCTGGCTCTGCACAAATTTAACAGGTCTGCAGCCCCCACCACAGCCACTACATGTCCAACACCCCATCTTATCCCTGCAGGCAGAGGGAGCCTCCCCCTGGGTCTCCCATACATGGCCAGTTCATGGCTGCCTTTGCAAATAGTATATGACTCCACTGTCCCCACTGTCTCCCACCTTCCAGATCCTTCTCCCACTACTGATGCCCCATACCTTTCCTGCCACTGCCCACAGTGTACGATGAATGGGCCACACACCTGGCTTCCCACTTCCCTCTCTTCTCCCCTGTGAGCTCTGGGCTGCCCACAGGAACCTCTGCCCCAGCCCCTGCTCTCCCTTTCCCAGTGTAACCACCAGGCCGGTTCTTCCAGACACACCTCTCTGCTACCTGTGTGCATGCTAGTCCCTCTCTACCTCCTCCTGTCCTTATACCACAGAGATGAACAAAATATCTATGTCTAAAGCTTCATGCCCAGGGACTGATCAAACTTTCCTCCTACCCTTATCCTCTGCTTCCCAGTCCTGCTTTGCCCCCAGCCCACAGCCTCTCTAGGTGCTGCCCCCCCCCAACAGCTTGGGAGTGGGCACTCAGGATAGGACCCACCTCACTACCCCTACCCCACCCCCACCCCCAGGGAGAACAGCAGCAACATCCTGGACAGCCTGCTGTCCCGCATGGAGCAGTATGCCAACAACCTGGAGGAGCTAGTGGAGGAGCGCACCCAGGCGTACCTGGAGGAAAAGCGAAGGGCTGAAGCCTTGCTCTACCAGATCCTGCCTCAGTGAGTGCCATGTCTGGGACTTCCAAACAGCCCCTGTCCTAGCTCACCCCAGCCTCTGACCCTGCTGCACCTCCCCTGACCTCTCAGCTCAGTGGCTGAGCAGCTGAAGCGTGGGGAGACAGTCCAGGCTGAAGCCTTTGACAGCGTCACCATCTACTTCAGTGACATTGTAGGGTTCACAGCCCTGTCAGCAGAGAGCACTCCCATGCAGGTAAGTTGGAGCTTCCACAGGGGTTAGACCCTCAGATAGACACACTTGTTGTAGCCCCTCCATCCTATCAGGCCTGCTCTTGGTTTGGCTTTTCTCACCCAACCCCAAGTGGGATCCCTTATTTCCTGTCCCTCTCACTTCTCTTCCCTTTCAGGTGGTGACCCTGCTCAATGACCTGTACACTTGTTTTGATGCTGTCATAGACAACTTTGATGTGTACAAGGTGAGGGTGGGAGAAGGGAAGGCCAGGGACACACAGGGATAGACAGGGCCAGAGAAAGGTAAGGGGCAGGCAGAATGGTGTGGAGTCTTTCCTTTTTTTTATTTTTTTATTTTTTGAGACAAAGCCTCTCTTCGTTGTCCTTGGTAGAGTGCCATAGCAGATTGGGGTCAGAATGATAGGTGTTGCACATGGCCACACACCGTAGCCGGTGGCACAGGTAAGAGAAAGTTCCAGCTCTCCTCTTGTGCACCTTCTGGCCGCCCCCACAGGTGGAGACGATTGGCGACGCCTACATGGTGGTGTCGGGGCTCCCAGTACGGAACGGCCAGCTTCATGCCTGTGAGGTAGCCCGTATGGCCTTGGCACTGCTGGACGCTGTGCGCTCTTTCCGCATCCGCCACCGGCCCCAGGAGCAGCTGCGCCTGCGCATAGGCATCCACACAGGTGAGGAGGCCATGAAGGCCTGGAGCTTCAGAAGGGAGACTTCTCGACTCCCACCCCCACCCCCAAAACACACAGGCTCCCACAATTGGGAACTCAGATCCCACCTCCTGCTGCCTCCCCGACCCCCACCCCGCCCGCTCGCTTTCTCCCTTGCTCCTCCCAGGACCTGTGTGTGCTGGAGTGGTAGGGCTGAAGATGCCCCGTTACTGTCTCTTTGGGGACACAGTCAACACGGCCTCAAGGATGGAGTCCAATGGGGAAGGTACAGTGCGCTCCTAGAGGGAGTCAGGAGGGCAGGTAGCCAAGGGCAATTCCTCAGTATGGGTAATAGGGTCAACCCTATCAGTGGGCAGCTCATGCCTACACCATCCCTGTTCCAGCTCCTAGCCCTTTCTCCTCCCAGGTCCTCTTCTCATACTAGTTCATTGTGGGTTCATCACCTTGGCTATAAATGAGAGACTCCAGCTGCACCTTCTTGCCAAATGATGTAAAGTACTTCCAGGCCAATGTTCAAAAGCTCCCTGCAGGAGTCCTCCTTCAAGTCCCTCTGTTCCTCCTTAGTGTGGTTACAGAGGGCTTCAGAGCCAGTCCACTGGAATCTCAGCTCCTTGGCTAAGTACCTGCCTGGGCTTTGGTTTTCCTCATCTGTGAAATAAGAATAAAATACCTTATCTGTCTCAGGGTTGTAAAAAACCTAGCACAATACCTGAGACTCAGCAGGCGCCTATCTTCTGTCCTCCTGCTGTATTCAACACAATTCAATTCAGGTTTTTGAGCAACTACTGAGTACCAGAGTCCAGGATACTAAGATAAACCCAGAGTTAGGGAGTCCATGTGGATCCCTCCATACTTCACCACGGGAGAAAAGCTACATGGAAGCCAGTCCTGGGGCCTCAGAGGAATCTGGTTCAGCAAATATAATATTGGGTACTGTGTTTGGGGCTGCCCTTTGCTGAGGTCTGTCCTCAAGGAGCACATTCTCAGGAATTGTTCAACAAACCAACTTGCTGTGAGACTTCCAGAAAAACTTGTATCATGCTTCCTATGAGCTATATTATGTTTATTTTTTTTTTAGAGAGTCTCACTTTGTCGTAGAGTGCCATGACAACACAGCTCACAGCAACCTCAAACTCTTGGGCTTAAGCCATTCTCTTGCCTCAGCCTCCCAAGTAGCTGGGACTACAGGCGCCCACCATAGCACCTGGGCATTTTTTGTTGCAGTTGTCATTGTTATTTAGCTAGCCTGGGCTGGGTTCAAACCTGCCCCGGTGTATGTGGCTGGCTCCATAACCACTGTGCCAAGACTACATTATGTTTAAATACTTTAGGAATGTCAGCTAGGTGCAGTGGCTCACACCTGTAATCCCGGCACTCTGAGATGCTGAGTCAGGTGCATTGCCTGAGCTTAGAAGTTTGAGAGCAGCCTGAGCAAGAGGAAGACCCCCCATCTCTACTAAAATTAAAAAAAAAATAGCTGGGTGTTGTGGCAGGTGGCTGTGGCCCCAGCTATTGGGGATGCTGAGGTAAGAGGATTGCCTGAGCCCAAGAGACTGAAGTTGCTGTGAGCTGTAGCACTAGCCTGAACAACAAAATGAGACTCTGTATCCAAAAGAAAAAATAAATAAATATTCTATGACTGTTAAATTTAACCCTCACAGCAAGGCTTTTCTTTTTTGGGGGTTTTTATTTTGCTACTTGTTTTGTTTATGATGAGATCTCACTATGTTACCCGGGCTGGTCTCAAACTCCTGACCTCAAACAATCCTGCACTAGCTTTCCCAGAGTGCTAGGATTACAGGCATGAGCCACTGCACCCAAACGCAGCCTAATCTTCACAGCAAGGCTTTGAGCTGGGTACTATCACTATCAACATTTTATAGATTAGGAAAATAAGGCCCAGAGATTTTCTATTTCTTACCCAAGCAAGGTTCCCAAGATGAGATTCACCTTGAAGCAGAACAGGGTCCAAAGTGTGAACTCCCGCTGTCCTGCCTCTTGAGCCTGGTGACTCTCCAGAGCAGTGCTGTCTATTAGCACTTTTGGCAGTCACAAAAACGTTATGTAATCTGTGCTGTCTATTATGTGGCCTCTAGGCATATGTGGCTATTGATAGATACCTTGAAGTGTGACTAATACAACTGAACCACTGAATTTTTTTTTCTTTTTTTTTTTTCTTAATTTTGAGACAGAGCCTCAAGCTATCCCCCTGGGTAGAGTGCCATAGCATCACAGCTCACAGCAACCTCCAACTCCTGGGCTCAAGCGAGTCTCCTGCCTCTGCCTCCCAAGTAGCTAGGACCACAG